AAATTGTGCAGATTGATGCTGTTGATCACTGGATTGTCTGGTCCAGATTCGATTATTTACGGACCACTGTCACATAGCTGGAATATTGCTGAGTGCGGCGTATAACTAACCTCACTCACTCACCATGTTGGTGACAGCTGCAGTGTGGAACTAGTGAACCAAGGATCAAACCAAGGATCAAAACAAGGTGAAGCTGGAAATGAGGATGAGATGATCCTGGTAGACAAGGGACACTTGTCTTCACATTGAAAAAGGCACCTCAGACAACTGTACCCCATGGCCCCCTTCACCTGACCACAAGCTTCAAGGATCACAACCACCTATATATATTTTACTGGGAGTCATCCAACTAATCAACAGCCATTGTAGACACCTGGGCCTAGATTTTTGAAGCTCTCTTAGCGCTAAGATAGTCAAAAGTGCCATACATTAACATAAACTTACGACTATCTTAGCGCTAAGAGAGCTTCGAAAATCTAGGCCCTGATCCCAGAGCTGTCACTATATGTAAGATTTCTCATTTCTGAGGGACGTCGAGGTAGCCTTGTGGTTAAAGTGTTTGCTCGTTTCACTGAAGACACGGGTTCGATTCCCCACATGGGCACAATGTGTGATGCCAATTCCTGGTGTCCCCTGCCATAATATTGCTGGAATATTGCTAAAAGTGGTGTAAAACCATACTCACTCACTCCAACTCATTTGTGAAGAAGTCACATGCCACATGTTGTCTGCAGTGCCATGTCTACATTCAGTTATTTGGGAACAACACAGAAAAACAACAATTTTGTTGTTGACATTATCAGCATGTTTCTTGTTGTTTTACCATGACACACTTTTGCATGTCAAATATTTTCCATCACTAATCACAGAATCCCGAAGAACAGAAGATGAATTATACAGAGCAGACGCCATTTTTAACCATCCTTTGAGTCAGTTTTGGCAGCAGACCTGCTGCATATTCTCTGGCTCTCTGCCAGAACTATGTACAATTCAATCTCCTGCAAACTCACCAATTACTGACAGCAAACAAATTTATTTACAAGAATCAAACGATCATCCTGGTAGATTGAAATTTCTTGTTGAACATGACACGCTAAAACCAAGAAATTAGCATGGGACAGACACTGGAGGTGTCGGGCTAAGTGTTGATTCACCGCATTCTGAAGTCTGTGTTCACAAGCCGCTGTTGTGTAAAGGATGTACTTAGATGCACAGATAGCGCTAATCCTTGTCAAGCTGGGGAGAGGAACTACTCAAGGACTTGGTTTGCAGGTTTAGAGTGAGACCATAAGTGAGTGAGTTTGGTTTAATGTCACTTGGAACAGAATATAAATCATGTCATGTCGGTTTAATGTGGGAGGAAGAGTCAAAGTGAATTTGTTTGATCTCCGATGGTTTCCATTTAGGAAATATCTTACAACTTGAGCATGGTGCTGGCATTATGTAGGAACTTGATCAGGGATTTGAACCTATGTTTATTGGCTTTCTGAGTAGGCCTCCACAGACACAGCGGTTTTACGCTGCTTTTAGCAATAACAGGGAACACCAGAAGTGGGCTTCACACATTGAACCCATGTGCAGGAGTGAGTGAGTGAGTGAGTGAGTGAGTGAGTGAGTGAGTGAGTGAGTGAGTGAGTGAGTGAGTGAGTGAGTGAGTGAGTGAGTGAGTGAGTGAGTGAGTGAGTGAGTGAGTGAGTGAGTGAGTGAGTGAGTGAGTGAGTGAGTGAGTGAGTGAGAGTGGTTTGTAGTGACAAAAGATCTCTGGAGGTTATTTACATGGGGCATTTACTTGAACCACCTGATTATCATTTAACCCTTTCTAAACATGGAATGTTTTACTCACACAAAAGAGTAAATCATTTCTCAGAAAGGGCACTACTTGGGTGCTTGGTTAATATTTTACTGAGCACTTCTGAATCTAGAGTGTGTGTGAGTTGGGTTTTACGCCGCTTTTAGCAATATTCCAGCAATATCACGGCGGGGGACACCAGAAATGGGCTTCACACAATGTGCCCATGTGGGGAATCGAACCCGAGCCTTCGGCGTGACGAGCGAACGCTTTAACCACTGGGCTACCCCACTGCCCCCCGAATCTAGAGAGCAACAGTAAGAAGAAAACACAAATAGCTATTTCAATTAAATTAAATTAATTATTTAAATATGTTGGTGTGTTTCCAATATTTTACACCAGCAAACAAAAAACTGATTAACAAAGTATCAGGAACTTTGATCAGTCAGGGAACCCTTCCTCATCTGATTTAAAATATTGCATAACCTTCCTGATACCAACATACCAGCTACCACACAACTACCATTGAACAAAGGAGGAAAACTAAATCAGGAAAATAATGAAGGGACATCATGTGAGGAGAAAAATAATAGAAGGACATCATGTGAGGAGAAAAAGAATTGGGGACATCGTGTAACAAGGATAACTATATCTACATGTGAGGCGTGTCCTTTATAAAAGTATCGGCAGGTCTGTGCTGGATTTATGCAAACATGTCTGAAGTCTGTCTCCCAAGTTCCTGAAGTCCTTGTGACCTAGCCACAGGTTGGAGTCTATCACATCACGCCCACCTTCAGCCTGCCATGTGCCAAAACACAGACAACACACACAGGCCACACAATAACCCCACCAAACCAGACTGTCAGGCTCACAGGCATTTTAAACATTCTCCCTAATTTTAACAGTAATATAAAAACAAAATGCTTCAGATTTTTATGGTCACAATATTTACTAAAATTCATTTCAACTAACACTGCATGATGATAAATCATGGCATCACAAAAATACAGAATATTATTAGTGCCACAGATTTAAGTTTGATCAGTGTTCAATTTGCTACCTCAACAGTTTGAACTTGATCCATCAAATACTGTTATAATAGATTCTTTGTATTTGATCTACTCAGAATACACAAAAAAATACCACATCACTATGCTAGTGACCTACAAAATTATCAGAATACATTCTGAGTAAGGCCATATTTGATTTCTTGATGCTAATGCACAAAGAGACAGAATTTAGACAAAGAAAAGATTTAAAATAAATTATGAAATGTTTTCAGGTATGATGTGTGGATTCATTAAAATAAAAGATTCTTCAAATAACAAATTAAAATGTTAATAATAGCATACAGGAAGTTAAATGCTTTTGGTTTTCATTTGTCCCTTTTGAATTCAAAATGTAGAAGATTTGTCCAAAAGCTCTAAAATATTGGCCCTAAGACAAATTGTATCACATCCAGATTTCAGTACATGATCTGACAGTCTGCATCAGTTTGATATCGAAAGGAGATATCTGGATTATCTGAGATCAATAGCTGATGTCAGTCTGACATGAGGAGTGGTCTCCTCGAGGAGATAGTGAAGCACATATGACATAAACTTTGACGTCAGATCAGAGATGTTGCTTGGATACCAGATTAAGTTGCTAAGAAACCACAATTGTAATACAACGATTTCATTCACTGTCTTGTAACTTGATATGCTCACTGACATAATCAGCTGATTGGAAAACAAATGCTGTTTTCCCTGCAACAAGTATAATACAGTACTGATAGGGTGACAACAAACTACAGACAATCATACACTTTGATAACGTGTGCCCAGGTCATTTCATCATCATGAATAATCATCAGTGCATAAATTATCTAAATCAAACACTATCAACATCAGGAAACCACATGTACCATATGAGCAATTTAGCTCACAACAAAATAAAGGTTGTTTTATATTAGTTAATAGCTAACCAATCAACACATATCTTGTGGTTATGTCTCTCACACAAAAGAGAGTTTAACATTTTTTGAGTCTTCAAACTGAGTTTTCAACTTGGCCACTGTTTACACATATCAAACAATCCATTCTCAGCAAACTGAGTTTTGTTTTACGCCGCTTTTAGCAATATTCCAGCAATATCACAGCGGGGGACACCAGAAATGGTCTTCACTATTGTACCCATGTGGGGATTCGAACCCGGGTCTTCGGCATGACGAGCCAACGCTTTAACCACTAGACTACCCCACAGCCCCCATTCTCAGCAAAACTTACTGTAGTAAACTTCGTCACTAACTGAAAAAGGATTTTACTTGATGTACACTTGTAACTTGTAAACAAAAGTCTTCATAAAGAAAATGTATTAATCCTCTTTCTATATCTTTCAAATGCATGCCTAAATTATAGATATGAACAATCTTCAATTCATTTTCATTCTGAGGGTTATGAAAATATGTCACATGTATTTTGAGGCGAGGGGTGGCGTGTAAATATGCTATAAATATTAGGCGTTCTAACAAATTATGATACAGTCCTAATACTAACCATTACTACATATTCAGTCATATTTAACAGGAAATATATCTTTAATGCATTTGCTGTGAAGCCCATTTTTAATACATTATAAGTAGTTTTAGGAACATAGTGGTAGTCTTGTTAATTACCAAATTTAACACAACGGAAACAAGAAATAGGTTCCACATACTTATGTAGGGAATCAAACCCAGGCCATGGCATGAAAAGTTAACACTGTCACCACTACCCTATCTCAAGAACCCTTATATGATTGGGAGTGGCGGAGTAGCCTAGTGGTTAAAGCATTCGCTAGTCACACTGAAGGCCCGGGTTTGATTCCCCACATGGGTACAATGTGTGAAGCCCATTTCTGGTGTTCCCCGGCCATGACATTGCTTTAATATTGCTAAAAGCAGCGTAAAACCATACTCACTCACTCACTCATTATACGATTTATCATGGATTAGAGTTATGTGTCATTCATAATTTATTTTCAAAACCAAATATCAATTTGAATTTTTGAAGTATTACTTAGATTCCATGCAGGCAGAAAGTAAACATGTGTAACCAGTGTGAGTTCTGCAGCTTTGGTCTTGTTTACAATAATGTCTGTGTGATAATTCCTCCATTACACTAAGAGCCACGTAGTCTGTGACATTATTAAATATCTAATACAATCAGGTAGGTTAATGTGATGAACTTACCTTTGACGCCAACATTGCACTGATAGAGAGGATAGGTTCCACTGCCATAAACAGCATCCGATGGTCCTCCTTGCTCAAAGAGGAGTACTTCCTGCAATAAACAACACCCACGTCACAGACAGCAGCATCGTCAAATGGTATTGACCCATATCACAAGAACCAAGAAAATCCCTTGATTGATGGCGTCCTAATTTGATGATGAAGATGGATCAAGGAAAATATCATAGCATTTTCAGCAGCGAAGGATCCTTGGATTACTCAAAGGCTTGGATGGAATCGGCAACTTTGGCGCTAACGTTTCCAAAAATATCCTTCATGACCACTTGCTGCCAGCAGTGACAACTTCTGATAATTTTGGCGCTGCTTCTACAATTCGTTCAAATGGGTCTCGCGGGGAAAAAGCGCTCAGTGTGTGACTTTCCAGGACCAAGATTACACACAATGTGAAAGTATAATGAAATGTTTCAAATAATGCAAAACAACGCTGTATGTGCCAAACACGTTCTTGAACATATTTGCCGTCTGCTTTGTGTCAGAGTTCAACCTCAGTGACCCAAAGCTGGGACGATAGAAATGTACCTGATGTAAGTTTTAATTCATTGAGGTTGACCCAGCCACTGAATCAGCAGTAAACAAACACACGTCTGCCTCTGCTCCGGCCTTCTTGCACCCTGTAATCCCCCATGATGCCAAGCGGCTGAAATCGTCGGGATAAGCCTCAAAGGTTTTACACACAAACACGACCCCTCATATCTCTCCAGGACAAATTAACAAGTTGGAGTAAATGTGTTTTTCCATCTTGACATCCAAATACAATTTTGTGGAATTTGGCGATTGTTGACGTTTGAAACTTGTTTCAATAGGAGAATGAAGATTGTCGTGGTGCAGGCTCTTGACACATAAACACCAAACACTGATCCCATTAGAAAAGAATTTCTTTCTTACAAATCTCTTTCAATGTCGTTTTGACAATTCTAACGATATCATTTTTATATTTTTCATTATTTGTGTGAGAACATGAGAATTACATCTGCAATGTTTATTTTGTCAAAAAACACAACAATTCTTTCAAGACCTCCACTGTAGTTCTGTTTTTCTTGTCTCATTTTCAAACATTAAATAATAAACATTTGTTGATCAAAACCTGGAATAATACCTTAGTAAAATAACAAAGATGTCTTGTGTTATTCTTAAAGTACTTTCTGTGCAAGTAACACAGGACAATTAGAATTATGAAATTTATGAAAGTAAAGTTGATTGAATTTTAATTGGTTGATAGAGATTTGTGTGACACAAGTGTCAATGATAGTAGCAGAGGTCACAGATGAAGGGGCAGTAGTACTTGTGATGGTACATGTAGTAGTAGTAGCAGTAGTAGAAGTAGTAGGAGGAGGAGAGGTGGTAGTAGTAGTAGTAGTAGTAGTAGTAGTAGTAGTAGTAGTAGTAGTAGTAGTAGTAGTAGGAGTAGGAGGAGTAGGAGGAGGAAGAGAGGTCGTAGTAGTAGTAGTAGTAGTAGTAGTAGTAGAAGTAGGAGTAGGAGGAGTAGGAGGAGGAGGAGGAGTGGTAGTAGTAGTAGTAATAGAGAAGGTAGTAGTAGTAGTAGTAGTAGTAGTAGTAGTAGTAGAAGTAGTAGTAGTAGTAGTAGGAGGAGAGGTGGTGGTAGTAGTAGTAGAGGTGGTAGTAGTAGAAGTAGTAGTAGGAGAGGTGGTGGTAGTAGTAGTAGTAGTAGTAGTAGTATAGGTGGTAGTAGTAGGAGGAGGAGGAGGAGAGGTGGTAGTAGTAGTAGAAGTAGTAGTAGTAGGAGAGGTGGTGGTAGTAGTAGTAGTAGTAGGAGAGGTGGTAGTAGTAGTAGTAGTAGTAGGAGAGGTGGTAGTAGTAGTAGTAGTGGTAGTAGTAGTAGGAGGGTGGTGGTAGTAGTAGTAGTAGTAGTAGTAGTAGTAGTAGGAGAGGTGGTGGTAGTAGTAGTAGTTGCATGGTTGAGAGTCAGCTACGGTAGGACTGCACCAGCTGTAAACTAGTTCCTCACCTAAATACATTCCTCATCTAAATACATTCCTCTGAGTACAGTTAATCAAATGTTAATCCAAACAACTTTCACTTTCCTTAAAATAAGTTAAGAGAAAAGTCTAAAAGGTTCCAGAAAACTTTCAACTGTTTGAGCCAAACAAGGACCAAATTCCAGTGGAGAGTATCTTGCATACAGGCCACCATACCTCCCTGATCCAGGCATATATCAGACTATATTCACTCCACAGTAGCAGCTAGCACCGTCCAAACATGCCGAGCCTCTCACCCCGTCTCAGCCACTCACCCCCGACTAAACCACTCACCCCTTCTAAACCATTCTCCACTCTACACAAACAGTTTCTTCACAACGTATCTTTCTTCAACTCTCACAGTATTTATTTCTCTTAATACCCTGACCTAACACATCTTTCTTTAAATCTCACAATATTTATTTCTCTCAATACTCTCTCTCAACTTATCTTCAACTTCCACAATATTTATTTCTCTAAATACTCTGTCCCATGCTCAGAACGCCCATAGTTAAAGCCTTAAATGCAGGTAGTTAGTCTCATGTTTTAAACAAATTGACAATTTAAACCTATCACTCCCTCCCTCGGTTTCCACGTAAAAATGCCGTAGTTTTTGTCAGTCATTCTGTTGCCAGATGGGTTATTTCAGCACGTGTTGGATATTCCTGTTTTGGAAAAGAAGTAAGACAACAACGGAATGTTTTACAGTGTTTAACAAAGCGCAGCTGCCCTTTTGTAAAGGGGCTATTCCTGGTTTACGTATGTTTATTGTAATAGGAGCTAAAACAACAAGTAATGTGTTAGCTCAAGGGGTGGACAGGAAGCTTCAGCTAGCCGTTTCGGATGACAGATGTAACAAAGTTATTACAAGTTGGACATTTGTTGACGTACAATACAAAAATACATCCGAGTGGAATTTATATTTTTGTTTGTTGTTTAACTCTGCACTTAACAATATTCTAGGTATATGGCGGCGGTCTGCAAATAATTAAGTCTGGACCAGAAAATCCAGTGATCAACAGCATGAGCATTGATCTACACAATTGGGATACAATGACATGTGTTTACCAAGTCAGCGAGCCTGACCACCCGATGCCGTTAGTTGCCTCCAACGGCAAGAACGGGTTGCTGAAAACAAATTCTAACCCGGATCTTCACAGGTCGTGAAATGTTTATCACATTTAACAATCTACTGTTGTGGTGATTAGGTGACAACTAATCAAATATCACGATATTGAGATTTCTGAAAAGTTGATATTCTGGTTATAAAATAATTGTTTAAAACCAAACTTTATTGCATACTAGCATTTACTGTGTTTATTCAATGTCATACAAATATGGGAGGGGTTTTTGGATCCTTAAGGCTTTCTTTCTGCTTCAGTGTCTGAATCAAAGCGTGTCCTAAAAATCTTTATGATTTAATTTTAGGTTTGACGTGGAAAACCTGATTTATAAAGTCTTAATTTCATAAACTGAACATAAATGTTCTGAGGTTAATATGAGGTAAAGTTTATTTGCTTTTATGGCCTTGACCCATAATGAACATACAGTAGAAATATATGTCCTTTAATTTCAGTGTAAATAGTTGTCATACTGCCAGTACTGTGGTCTGAGGTCACATCTTCAAATGACTGTCACCTGTACATACACTTGCAACATCTGACCCAGAAAGAGGCTCTCCATTGGAAAACTGCCATCCCTTGGAAACTTGCCCCTGTGAATCTGCTCCTCCGCCCACCTCCCCATATAATGCCATAATCTGTTACTATGGTTACATGACTACATGCACTATAAGACAAACAGTGACTATCATAACAAAACACAGAAACTCTGTGGCAAGATGGGCTGTTAAAATACTTTAATTCTGAATATTCAGGCCAGATAAATATATTCATAAAATACATCTTGGTGTGTTTTATATAATAAGTATTGGTAGATGTAATAGCTACAGTCTAAGGGTGAATTTAGTTGTTCAAGGGGAAATTTCAATGAAAAATACTACTCAACTTTAATAAGGATATCAGGTGAGGGTGAAGAACCTAAGAGACAATACATTATCTGAATGAGAACTGTTGATATGAAGCTGAAACATGACACTTTCATGGAAATACTACTACATGTACAACAAGCCATCAGTATCATTCAGTCCCCACATGAACTGACCATATTCCAGTCTAATGTTGGGTAGCATACTTCAGTGGCTGGGAATAGTACTTCAAAAGTTCCTTAAGATAATTGATGCAAGCAATGCAGCCAATCTCCACAATTGTTACATCACCTATTCGGATACATCTAAACTCTCTGCCCCTGAAATAACATTTAGTTGTATGAAAATAGCATATTGTTGCTAAGCAACAGGAAGAACATTCTCGTTATCCAAGACAAGTTTCATATGATTTTCACTAACCCTTACATCACTTCACTGACCTTATTGTTTAGCATATACTTCACCTCATTTGAGAGCAATAACACTTCCTTTCAAAACAAACTTGAAGATATTTACTTGAAAAACACACGTAAAAAAAGATATATTAGTCATGTAATTAGAAGAATTTACTTTAATTCCCAGAAATTGCACTAACGAGGATATCCGGGGAAAACGACGAGTTAACAAAGTGCCGAGATTCCTAACTGACAAGGGCATTTAGTTAGTTGTTAGAACGCCAGCATCCCTGGAACCCCTGCACCAGCAACCACTGTGGTGAGAAGACAATGGCAGTCCAACTATTCTATGACGCATCGCTCAGTTGAACTGTGCATCACACTTATATTTGTATACAGGTGGCACCTTGTACCAACAACAGGAATGTATCAGCGAACATTCCAAACTCCAGTATGAACCATAGCAATGACAGTGTGTGTACTGTGCGGTGTGGGTGAGGGTGAGGGTGAGGGTGAGGGTGAGGGTGAGGGTGAGGGTGAGGGTGAGGGTGAGGGTGAGGGTGAGGGTGAGGGTGAGGTGAGAGTGAGGGTCACAGTGGGTGAGGGGTGAGGGTGAGGAGGGTGAGGGTGAGGGTGAGGGTAGGGTGAGGGTGAGGGTGAGGGTGAGTGGGTA